ACAGTTCTGTTACTTCAGTCACAAGCTAAACTTCAGCAACCTTGCCCTGGTCATACCCGGAAAAAAATGGAATTTATGAAATAACTTTAAACCATAATGGATTATACTTTTGTTGTACCATTAATTCAAATCCAGGTACTTAATTATATCTTCTTTCATGTGGTTATCTGTATTTATATTTTTTTTTATTAGCTTGCTTGGCAGAGATGAAAACAGGAAGCATAAAGCAGGAAAAGAGAGCATTTTTGTATTTTCACACCAGCCTGTCTTTGACATAAATCCTCCACTTCATCAAGACCTTGACTTACGATCCACAGAAAGGAAATCATGTACATTACTGAGTACTCCTCTGAACAGAATGAGATGCTGAAGTGGAGCTTGTGTTCTTTAACTGCTAAATTAAATCTTATGATGCTTTTTTTCCCCCCATGGGAATACACATTCTCTGCCTGTTCTTGGAAAGGAGAAAATAAAAGATGGAGAATGGCAAACAGAAATGTTCCTGCTGTCCCAAGACTACAGTTCATTAAATCAATAGCAAAACAAGCACATTGTTGGTCCCAGTGTATTCTTCTGAGCTAATGTTATCTTTTAGACAAATAGACCTAAAACTGGCTGTATAATTAACTATGTCTGTAGTATGAAGCACACCAGATTTTACTCACTTTGCCTCAGCATCACTGATGAATATTCACTGGACTGAAAGGCAGATGACAAAAGGAACCTGTGTTAATCTGGAAGTGTAGTGTCCTGAAAACCCACAGGTACTTCTTCCAGTACTTGGGTATAGTGCACATCCACAGTCAGCAAAGGAACAGCCCTTTGTTCAGAGATCTCCTTAGCTGAAAAAAAAAATCCTATAAAACATACTACAAGTAATTTTCTTTCTTTCTTTTCTCAGAGATTTCCTGAACCGCATTCGGAGTAGAACCTGGGACATCCAGCACCCCCATTTGCACGAAAGAATACCAATGAGAGGAATTTACTACCTGACACAACATGGTGGAGTGACCCCACGGCTTCACACAAAATGGCGGGGTGACCTCATGGTCTGCCACAAAATGGCGGAGTGACCCCACAGCCTGACGCAAAATGGCAGACTGACCCAACAGCCCCACCCAAAACGGCTCACACCAGCAGAGCGTTTCCCTCGCGTGCCCTTACCCACCATGGCAGACCGACAGCCCCACTTTTCCCTGTCCTTACCCAAGAAGTCAGCCTGTCCCCCTCACCCCTCATGGCGCCATTTGGCCTCTCAGGGCCCATCAAAGGCCATGGGGAGCGGAGTAGAGTCCAGGCCGTGCCCCGAGCCCTGAGGGCTCCCCTGCCATGGACTCCAGGCCGCTCAGGGCACGCTGGGCCCAGGGTGCTGCCTACATACCTTTCTCTTTTTTCTTCCTCTTTTTTCTCCTACCTTCTTCTCAAAATACACTGTACACCAAACTAAAAAATTCCAGGCAGTGCCTTAGTAAGTGCCCTGTTGAGTCTGGATAAGTCAAAGTTTGGCCAAGTTAAAGTTCACCAAGTTCAAGTTTGTGAAATGCTTTACTTTGGGTGGTGTTTCAAATTTGCCGAGTACCTCACTGTGCCTTCGTGCCCCAAAGTTTGCAAGTCTGGCTGAGCTCCACATCCATGTGGCCATCCCCTCCCATCTTCCCCACAGGGAAGGACGGACAGTTCTGCTTTACTCACCATTCCTGGCACAGCCTTTCACTCCTCTTTACCTGTAGCTGTGGAAGAGTGCTTTGTCTCCAAATCTATGTCAAACTAAGTAACAACAACACAACAATAATTACAACAACAATGATATTATTGATAATAAAACTTTTTAAAAGTCACTGATGATGTTAAAATTATCTTACCATCAGAAGGCTGTTTGTGAAGAGCTTTAAAATAAATTTGAGAAAATCTGGAAAAGACAGCATTCTTCTGAAGAACAGGCTGGCTCCCTGAAGGTGTGGCTGTCTTTGAGACCAGATCAGAGTTATATCCAACCTGCCTTTTCCTTGTGCCAGCACAGGTTGTGGAGAAAGCTTTAGACAACTTGAAAAATTTTAAGTAAATGCTCCCCACTGTCTGTCCCCTACCCAGCCTTTCTCCGGGTCTCTTTTCCAGTGTTTACCTACCATACCTTCCCCAAGAGTGGGCATGTAACATACCTACAGATGTAAACAAGCTGTGAAATCCTGCTGGGATGGTGTACGAGCTACTGAGAGCTCAGCAAACAGACCATGGGGTCTGAGAGCTGCGGCATCACCACGAACCAGAGACCACTGTGCTGCTGCAGTGAAACAACAAGCGTTGTGTGAGAGCAGACACGAGCATTCCAGCAAAACACGCAGGAATGCAGCTAAATTGTGCCCATTTTCTACCCCACTCTAAAGCAAACTTTTGCCCTCTACTAGATCAAAATATCAGATTAATTGGAAATGTACTCCCACTGTGTACTGTAGGAACACTTACTCTTGTGGCACATTTATTTAACACACAGAGAACTGATCCACTGCTCTGCCTTGCACTGGTTACTTTCAAGGACTCCCACTTTGCCTGAGAGAGAAGAGATATAAATAATTATAGAATAAAGTGTTGTCAGAGAATAATGTTCTCTGGCTGCTTTGGTCCAATGAAAGCCAAAGCCACCATAAAACCTTCAGGGAAAAGGGCAACAATTAATTCTATGAGGATAACACTCTATCACACTGCCTTGCTGCTATTATGGCAAAATAAATTAAAATATCTTAGTCTCTCTGTATATAGCTTAACTTATATACCTAATTTTCGCCTTTTAAAAATTACCTTGGAAAATTAAATGTATCTTCTCACAGATATGAATTTTATAGATCACATTTGGGAGAATAATATCTCAATATGTTATTGTCATTTCTTTTAAGGACATCAACGGCACATTTTTCAAAAAAGTGAGAATTTGGAGACCATCAGAGTTCCTGATTACTCACTGGATAGTGTGGATGTGAAGCAAAGCTAGACAATTTCTAAGGAATTAATTAGTCATCTTAAGGACCACACAGCATGAAAAATAACAGGGACAATATTAAATACTTAAGCAGATACACACCATCCTTTTATAATTATTATGTACATGCAATTCTCCAAGTCCATTTCTGTGTCACCCCCAGTATATTCATTACAGAAGTAACTCTAGGAGCTGCCTGACTTGTTTCTGTGGTTTTTTAATGGCAGCTTTATTCTTCTTTACATCTTTAAGTATGCCATTTGCTGGGGTTTGGCAGTATGCACCTGCAGTTAGTTGCCTTTTGAAAAGCTCAGGGATTGCTGGAGTTGTGGACAGCTGTATTTCATTCAGATTTCTGTGTGCACTGATTTTTAGGAATGCTCAATTTTTTAGCCATAATCCATTTATATAAATATAATTTCTGAGTTAAGTGACACACTGCTGAAAAGCAGGCTTATCTGAAATTTTACGAAAACGCGTTATAGCCATTCAACAAATGAATCATCAATTTCACTTAACATAATTCATCTTGAAGCTTATATGTGTGTGTGGATTTATCAATTACCACAGATCACCACCAATGTGCAGCCAGTCTGTGCATCCATCATCCATGCAGACACCTTGGAAAAGGGCAAACTTTGAAGCATGTCTCAAATGATATATATATATCTTGGGAGAAGAAATTCTGTTTCAGAAGCAAAATGTCATAACACATCCGTGTACCAAAAATAATAGTAATGAAACAGCTTACTTGAGTTTGTTTAAAACAAACTAGGCCAGAGTTGCTATCTTGGATGCAAAAAAAGAGGCAGATTGCTTTTATGAATGCCATAAAAATAAACTATTTTAATAGGTACATAAATAAAAGGTTTAAAGTAAAATTTTCCCCCCGAACATCAAGATGGCCTAGCTTCTGTACAGAAACTGAACAATATTCATGGGATTTCTAAATTAAATAAACCCTTTGTTACATTCAAAACCACTGAAGGCAAATACATAATGCAGCGACGCACCTGAATTGTTCTCCTTCCTCATCCTAGCAGTGTATACAGTATTTCCTTGGTTTACAGTACTCTGAGGATATGAATCTGTTAAATAAACTCTGAACGACAGGGTGGAAATAAAATTTAAGAAGTCAACGTTAAAAGAACCCAAACAACCCTGGCACACACAGGGGTACCTTGCACCAGCCAGGAAATTTTAATGGAAGAGAAATAAGGATTGTGCTGTAAAATAAATTATCTATTTTACATATTGTTGTATAGTTATCTTATAGTGTTTAAATATTACATTCACTTTGGTGATGTGTTTTTTCTATGCCTGTAATAAATTACTGCAAATGGGGGGAGCTCAGCACATCTAGGAAATGTTAAAAATATTTCAGATTTAGTTAAGATGGACAAAATCTAATTCAAAGCAGCTTTCCTCCTATCATGCCCCCCTCCCCAGCACCTCTACAAAGTTACTGGGATGGCTTCAGTTTTTGCTGTGTTGTATCAAAACATGTCATAGGCTGATGACTAACACTTACTGACACACAGAGGTTCTCGGGTTTTGTTTCTCCTTTCTCCCTCCGAACCATCTGTCAGTTTGAGAACATCTGCCATTAACATCTCCATGCTCTCCAAAGATTCCAGCTAATTAAAGCAAGGAACCATCATTTGTCCATCAAAGCTAAGTTTCCTGAAACAAGATGCTATCGCTGTTGCTATCTGCAATGTGTCTGGTGATGGGTGAGGACCACTCATCCTGTGGAGGAGAAAGTCTTTCACATGGTCACTCAGAGTGCTAAGGTATCTTGTGCTGGTGAAATCAGAGACAAAATTAAAAGATGACAAGTTTCATTCATAGTGCAGAACTGACATTTCTAGTCTATTCCATCAGAAGTCCAAGAAGTGGGGCCAGGCTGACTCAGGCCAGGCCAAGGAGCCCGCTTAGAGTTCAGATAGTGCAGAACTGGCATTTCTAGTCTATTCCATCAGAAGTCCAAGAAGTGGGGCCAGGCTGACTCAGGCCTGCTTAGAGTTTACCCACCAGCAAGACGTGACCGGCAGTGAAACGACTGCCCCTTTTTCCGATTTGCTTTCTTCTTACTCTTCATCTTCTTCTGCTTATTTGCACCTTTGCTTTTGTCCGATTTCTTTTTCTTTTCGTCCTCCTTAAACCACGGTCCCCAGACTCCTCCGTTGAGCTTGGGGTTGCTGCGAGGGTCCTTGGGCGGGTAGCGGACGGGCACCGCGGTCTTGTTGAACTGCGAGAGCCTCCGCAGCAGCTGCTTCACCACCTCGGGGTGCCTGGCAGACAGGTCCACGCGCTCGTAGGGGTCGGCCGTGATGTTGAAGAGCCACACGGTTTTCCCGGCTGACCAGGAGACGCGCTCATTGTGCCAGCGGTTGGGACCCGCGTTGCTGAAGGCCTGCGGAGGCACCCAGTCGCTGTAGCCCGGGTTTCCCGTCAGCAGCTTCCAGTGATTCACTCTGATGGCAGACTGGATGGCGGTGTTCCAGATCCCGTAGCCAGCGGCCCAGGAGCCGTTCTTGGCTTTGGTGTAGATCGGGTCGATGTTGTGCAGGATGTCCACCCGCGGGGAACGCCTGCCCTCGCTGATGGTCTCCCACACGTCGTAGCCGTCCAGCTGGATGTCTTCATCGATCTGCCCCTCCGCCAGCGTGATCAGCGTGGGGAACCAGTCTGTGATGTGCACCAGCTCCTTGCACACAGACCCTTTGTTTTTCAGAAGGGGGCTGTGCACAAACCCGACAGCGCGGATACCTCCTTCCCAATAGGTGCCTTTGCTTCCTCGGAGCGGCCAGTTACTGCCTCCGGCCATTGGCTGCCCACCGTTATCGGAAGAATAAATGATAATGCTGTTCTCGTAGTAGCCATACTTCCTCAGAGCGAGGGTCACGTTGTTTATGGCCTCATCCAGGCAGGCCAGCATGGCCGCGTACCGCCGCCGGTTGATGTTGTTTATCGAGCGGTAATGTTCAAAATACCTGCCCGGCGCCTGAAGAGGCGAATGGACAGCTTGGTAGGCAATATACAGGAATATGGGTTTCCTGGGGTTATGAGAAGCCAGGATCTGCTGCACTTTCTGCGTGTACATCTGCGTGGAGTAGATGCCGTTGTCGTGGTCCCAGGCGGCGTTGTCGTTCTCGTACAGGTCGTAGCCGCATATCCCGGGGCTGTCGCACTTGAAGTGGGTGTAGTAGTCTCCGCTGCCCAGGAGCGAGCCGAAGAAGGAGTCGAATCCCCTCTGCGTGGGCATGCACTCCCGGCGGTAGAACCCCAGGTGCCACTTGCCCACCATGTGCGTGGAGTAGCCGACCTCCTTGAGCTTCTGAGGTAGCGTGACGTTATCCAGAGGTAAGCAGTTGGGCTGCGTCGGCCGGATGATGGAGTGCTGCAGTCCCGTGTGGATCTGGTACCTGGAGGTGGGAGGAGACAGGCATCAGGCTGGTGGAGGAAATGCTCAGGTGTATGGACACCTTAACCCTAACAGAAAATATCCACAGCCACAGCCTTCTCTGGAAATATTTCACAGCGCCTATGTGTGCTGCTTTCAAAAACCAGCTCCTCACACCATCAAATCTGTCCTCGCCTCACTGAGGGATGAAACCTTGCCCTCCATGATCTGAGCTACTCAAAATACCTACATACACAGGAGCACAGGTACTTTGAGGCACCCTTCTTTCCTCCACATGTCTCCATTTAACAATGCCTATAGAAAATTATGTGGAAAAATACAATTTTTACAGTTCCTCGTAATTTGCTAGTGGTGAACGTATCTACAGCACATAAAAATGCTGGGCTTTGAGCGTGTAAGAGCAGTATGTTTAAAGGATGGGGTAATAAATTCTGCAGAGCACTACAGGCTATGTGTAAAGAATACATATGGCCTCCATATGATGAGAAAATGAATCCAGCACGGGCAGCAGTAAGTATCAAAAATCAAGGGCAAATATATTTATACCAGTTTGACAGTAAAAAAGAGAATACAACAGCAGATAGTAGACCAAAGACAACTTCACCCTCAGTGTGAGAATAGATTCAATTCTCAGCCATGCATAAAACAGCCAGGTCCACCAATATTGCATATCTCCCCCAAAACCGGTTCTTATTAATTTGTGGTAGCAGGAGTTGGGGCTTCTTGACACATTCTGCTGGTGTTGCCAATCTGATTGGCCTCCTGATCTGCCTAGAAAATTAAAACCATTAGGCTCTGCCTGTCCATAAATAACTTAAAGCCTGCTTTCATATGAGGGTTTCCTGGCCAAGATCTCCGAAGGCGCCGTAGCTGTCTTTAATGGCTGGCAATGCGGATGGATTGTGCAACTCCCATTTAATTCTGGAGCTGATTTCCCCGGACCCAGAAGCTCTGCTCTCACTAACTGCCTGCAGAAGCTCTGGGTGTTGTGCTGCTCTGGGCCCAGCGTGCTGCAGCGCTGCTGCTGTGCTCTGCCCCCCCGGCCCCTCTGCCCAGCATTGTCTCTGGGACCAGGCTGGGGACATGGAGCCCTGCCACCCAATTGTCCCCAAACTCACAGGCTGGTGCTGACAACCCAGGAGATGCTGCAGGAGGAGAGAGCTAAAACACACCCTAGAAATTACTGAGTTTCTGGGATCTGCACTTTGCTTTTGTTAAAGAAATGTCACACACATACACAAGTCCCACATCCTTCCCATGATTCAGTTGCAATATTCTCCTCTTAAAACAGGTAAACTACAACCAGGAAAGCCATGCAATGCCCCATTCTTCAGCTCATTCCATCTTTGGGACTCCTCAGGGAACTATGTCCACAAGGCATTTCATTTCCTTCCTCTTCTCTTTCCTCTGCCTTGTTAAATCCTTTCAGTAAATTCCCATTTTTTGATCCAACTGGAAAAGTCCTTGTCCCCACCTGGCTATTTTAGTCAATAGTTTCTGCTTTGTTAACTCTGACAGGCCCCTTGATCACAAGATCAGCCCCCAGTCCCAGCTGGGCAGTTCCTCCGTAACAAGCTGATTTTGCTGGAAGTCAGGAATTTCTCTGGAGGGATCCAGCCGGATCCTTCCACCACCCTTCTCCTCTGAAAACTGAGAAGCTGGGCCTGAGGGGAACAGGCCACAGGATCTGTAAAACACTGCAAACCAATCTTCCTCTTGTAGGCAAATGCCTACAGAGAAAGCACGATAGTCACACAACATTAATTCCCATCAAAAATTCCTACAACACCAGGCAGTTTCCCCAGTGAGGGCTTTTCAACTAGAGATCCAAGCATGAAATCCCTAAACTGTTGATCTGACAAATATTGAGCCAAAACCCAGCAAGAATTAGCCTCAGTCATAGAAGCATTTAGCAGTGCATCTTGCTTCAGCAGTGCCCTCGGGAAGTTATTCACCATGCTGGTAACACTGCACATATAACATACATCCATCTATATGCACATATATTCCCTGCTGCTGCCTCTTTGCAGGAGACTCTGGTGTGTTTCCCAGATGTGTCTGTGTGCTATTTTTGGCATGGCTGTGCTTCAGAATATACCTATAGGCACACAGACAAAGAGACACATTTTTATACTCCTAGTGTAAAAAAGGAGTCTGCAAACCAATACACTTTAAGGCAAAAATACTTCAAGTGCAGAAATGCTTCAAAGAAATATCAACCTCTGATTATCAGAAGACTGTTCACTATGACAAAAAATGTCAAGATTTGCACACTGTCCTGCACCACATGCCTTTGTAATTGATCCATTATGTGCCAACATTACTTTTTCAGTGAAAGTATTTCATTTTCAAAGGACTTGCAGGGCGTTCATAGAAAAGCAAAGTAATCTTGAGCAAAAGATAGTGATGATATGGAAGCAAATGGCACGAATAGCAATAGGAAAAGTGTCTCAAAACAACTGTTTTGAAACTGCTTCTAGACTGTGCAAGAGGAAAAAAAACCTGAACCAGGCACAACATAAAGGGATTAGGAGGCAGATGCTGATTTTGAGGATGTTCTCTAGCAGATGAAGTCATGAGCTCACCAACTGCCATGAAATGCCTGTGAGATACAGCCTACAGATTTCGTGGCTTCCATTTTTTAGAATAAATTGGCTGAATTTAATCCCAAATGCAGAAAGCAAGTTAGGACTGTGAAGAGTCTGGAATTCACTATTAGAATTTCAGCATCAGTAACCAGCCAAAACTAAGCAAATGCTGACAGGCCACAGAATCTAATTTCATCATTTTTTAGACTTTGACCTTCGTGGGCATTATTTACATACAGGTCATTAACTGTTAGAACCTGTATGCAGAGTAGGGGTTCAAGACTTGGGAATACTTTAGATGCATGTGTTGTGCTCTCCTTCCCCCTGCTCCTCCGAGGTTCTGGATCATAGGTGTCTCCTTTAGAATACCTGACATTTCCAATCTGCAGAACAAGGAACTAAGTAAAATTTGTGTGAAATGTTCAGCTAATAAGAAGCATATTGAAAATTAATTTCTCCTCACTATACAGGGATGGCTCTTTGTGCATTTTGTACTCTTGTTTTTGTTTTCCTGGTGTGTTGTTCAGATGTTCACAGTAAACCCACTGTGATAAGTGTTGCAGCCAGGCAGATGCTCGGTGCTGGCTCACTGACACACTGAACTGTTTTCTTGTTTGTAGGAGAAACTTTAAAGCAATGGTCTCCCTCTGGGAGCATCCCAATGACTTCACAGCCCTTTGCTTCTTGGATGCTCAGAGCAATATTTCAGAGGGTTCTTAAAATAAATAAATAAGCAAATAAATCCTCCCTCCTGAGCGTGAGCTCATGACACCCCTTTCCAGCACGAGTTCCCTTCGTGTTTTAATTTAGACACAAAGCTCAGGCAGTGGCTTTCCCACCACTCCTACCTCCAGCCCCAAGGAGCAGAGATCATTAAGCAGCTGAAGGTGAACTGCACACTGAAGTGCAGGAGTGTCATGGATGCAAACCACCACAGGCACGCTGAAGTCACTGAGACCTGAGCTTGAGGAATGTGGTAACATTTCCCCCTTTCCATGCCCTCAGAAGTGCTGCATTAGTTTCCAGCCCTCATCTGCAGAGCAGGAGATCAGTGACAGGATCTTTGCACACTTTTGCTGCTGTTCCCTGCAGCAGGAGCAGGGCTGAGGGGCTGAGGTGGAGGGGAAGGGATTCTCCTGGCACATCCCACATCCCCTACACAGCCTCACACACATGCAGGCCAAGCCAAGCCTTCCTGGAAAAACCTTTCCCTGAGGAGTTTTCTATTGAGGGTTTTCCCCCTTAGCTTCAGAGTGGGTTCTGCACCATGCTGTAGAGGAAGAAGCTGGGATGTTTCTAATTTTGTAATGTGCATGTACAACACTACTGATTTCAAGCTCTCACAATTTTCAAATACTGCATTAATTGCCTTCAAACTGAGATTCTTTTAAGGCTCACTGTAGATTGACAAAGAAGCTCAGTTGGAAGTTTCTAATTTCAGCAACTTTTGCTACCTTAGCTCTAGTCAGTACATGTGGAAAATGTATTTTTATTATGCTTGCATAGCTCAGAATATGTTAAAAAAATTTCAATTTTAAAAATAATAAACTCTAGCCTAGGATTTAGAACAGGGTACTTTATATAAAACCCCCACGTTTGACAGCAGTTGCATAGAGAGTGACAGCACTGAGGTCTGATTGCTACTTAAATTAAAGAGATCATTATTGATTTCCCTGTTAAAAATAATGAAATACAACAAGTAGGTAGCAGTCAAGAACATTGACTTAGGGGTTACTAAAGGACAGTCTGTGACATCTTACCTAAAACTATTTGTATAACACAACAGCTAAAACAGGAATTCCAGGTGAGTAAAAAAGAGAGAAATATATGATTTGGGGGGCTCTCAGTCCTCAGATGTCCAAGTTACTGGGAGGAAAAAACCCCAACATTCCACTTGTCACCAGCAAATCATCAGAGGCAGAACACAATCACCAGTGAGAGAAACCAGATACATCAAAGACATTTTTATAGTGGACTGTGGCTTTAGCATGGAGCACACAAACCCTAGATGTTTGAAAAGGTTGTTACTTTGGGCAGGGATGTTCACTCTGAATCATCTCAAAGGTGCTTGTGAAGGAAGCAGGAACAGTTCTGGAGCTCTTCCACCCAGGCTGGTGAAGAGCAGGGCAGGGGAATCCTGACCATGGGCATGCTGGATATGGACCAGCAAGAAAGAATCACACAAAATGCCTCTGCAGCAGAAACATCTGCCATAAAAATGAAATGTTTCACGCTGCATATGCTGAGGGTTTTAAAACTGAACTCAGAGTAAAGCTGGAAAAGGGGAGGGTTGATCCAGAAGACACTGGGGCAGAGGGTAGAGCTGAGCTGATTTAAATGAGATGTAAATAAAGCCATCACAGCTTGACATGAATTGCTAGGAAGCCATCAGCAGGTGCTGGTCCCTTCAGAC